ACATAAAAAGAACAGGGTTTTGAAAAATCAATTGTGTACAATTCCAGGAGTTTTGTGCGCTGATAAAAAATAATAATTTATCTCTTCTTGAAAAACTGCATTTTCAATTAACCTTCTCAAAAAAAATTAATTTTTTTCTACAACTATAAAAAGGATAAGAGTTAAGGTTTATCGGAATCAGCGTTTTTGTTTAATTCAAAAACCAAAAAAAAAAAATACTCTGCACCATTTTTCTCGATTGTTCCTTCATTATTTCAGAACACACACATTTATTCGCTTTCCTCACTCATCCTTTCATTTTCTTTTAATACCACACATTAATATTAATAATGGCCATTGCTGGTTCATTGCCTCATTTAGTTCTGAAAGAAATTTTTAATGAAATTGAAGAATCGATATCAACAGATAGATACCGAGTTTTGCTATCATGTGCACTAGTTAATCGTTACTGGTGTCATGAAGCATTACCAACACTATGGCGTCGTCCATTCAATTGCCGTCGTGAGCAATACTCAAAACTTATAAAAGTTTATTTGCAATTCATCGATCCAGAATTTCTGAATTTTTTGGACCTTGATTTAAATATTCCTACTAAATCCTCGATCTCGTCATCATCCTCGTCTTCATCTTTACCGTTCTTATATCCATCATACATAAAGTACATTGATTTTTACAACTTTTTTGACGCGGTCCAATATTGGATGACAACCGACGGAGATTTTGAGAGAGGAAAAAATCGATTTAATTGGATGCCACAATGGTTTTATCGCGAACGACCGATTCTTCATGAAACATTTTCTAAAGTTAAACGAGCTCTTGTACAGGCTCTGTTGGGAAACTTTCTCTCGAGCGGTGCAAGATTGGAAAGTGTCTCATTTTTGATTCATCCGAACAAAGATTTAAAAGTCGAAGAATTTTTGTGGCCTTTTGATGAAAATGTTCGTCCATTGATTGTGAATATAAAGATGTTGACAGTTTCCGGAATGTTTCGTAAAGAAAATATTTTTGCTGAACTCACTAAAATTTGCAGGAATTTGGTAATTATCTTGATTAATAAACTACTGATGGCAAATATTGATCTAAGTATTGCATTTGCTAAATATAAATTATATTCGATTTCAACAGCAAGCAATGGAAATAGTGATCGAAGGAAATTCCGACGTATTGGGAGTACAATCTCCAAAAGAATACTTAAACCTTGGCTCACTAATCCAAGCACAAAAAGGCCGTCTCAAATCTCTCAATATAACATTCCGTGAAAAAAGCCGATCATTCATCGAACTACTACTCCCTTCAATTTGGACAAACTCTTCGACTCTACAAAATTTGCGTCTTTGCACCGCCGATTTTCGTGATGTGAAACGACCACTCGCGGGATTATCGTCCTGTCATCAGCTACGGTCGTTGGAATTTAGTTACTGTAAAGGACTGACGAAAGAGTCAATTTCGCCATATATTACTCCGGCAGTAAATCCTTATCTGAAGAGAATTCGTGTCCTTGGAGGATACTAAAATTTCGTTTTTTTATTGTTTCCGTCAAAAATATGTATATATTTGTTTTTTTATTATTACTCTTTGATAAGAGC